ACCCACGACGGACAAAATAACCCACCGACAATAAAAAAAATGTACTATAGCGAAACCATAGAACTGCAAAATCTACAATGCAATCGCTATAATATAAACGACGAATATACTTGTAATTACAAATCACACCCAATAAACATTTACTTACAGCATTCTTCGTTACATCAGTGGCCCGTTTTGAAGTCTGCTTCGTCAAACTACTTTCCAGATTTGCCGCCATCTTTTATGTACAATGCGGTGCATTATGGGAAAATTAAACTTATGATCGAACACAAATTGATAACAAAACGACATGTAATGTAACATAACTGGACGGTGTCTACCAGGCCAGAGAACTAAGCAAATTACATTAACCCGTCTGTATTCTCCGAATTCAAACTTGAATTATAAGATAGGACTTCTAATGCCTTTGCGTCGGTCACAATCAGAGTATACTTCGCCCTCTATTGGCTGGATTGCGTTTATGGTCGGTACTGGACGAGTCGAATGAAACATCATATGACTAGAGGCGAGCAAGGGGATAGCTGGTACAGATTACAGGAAATAATAACGGCATTATACTTTTTTTTTTTTAAACGTAAAATGCCGTTAATTGTAAAGAAAATAAAATGGAAGTTCTATTTAAAATAGGTTTTTACACTTTACAGATAAAGCAAATTCCTGATTACATTTTTATAATATTTTTGAGAATCAAAATTGGAAATTGCGTACGAATTACGACATTTAACTTTGAAAATGCTTTATACGCTTACAAAAAAATATTTTTGTACAAATTACGGACGAATAAAATAGCTTACATTTTACACCTTGTCCGTGGTTACGAATTTACGTTTTTTATTTATTTACATTACGAAAATAAAAACAATTTATTACAACTTACGAAAATACCCCTTGCCGATCCTCTTATTTGGCAAAAATAATTTTACCATCACTGGTTTACAGTTCTAAAATTTGGGGATTTAGGTATTTTGACGCTATTGAGAGAGTCAACCGTAAATGATGTAGACTATTAATATGACTACCATAGGACTACTACCAAATTTAACTAGTGAAGCTGTGGAAAGACGGTAAACTCCCGGGGGGGTCACTCTATATTAAAACCTTACACCATGTGAGTTCTTGCTAACAAATAATAGGCCCCTAGGACTGGCAGCACATTGCCAAACCATCCCCCTATTGCGGGCGCACTGTAAATGTAGTACCCCCTAGAGCAGACATATTGAAGAAAAAAAACACCCCCTATTGCAGACATATATTGAGAACATCCTACTCCTATTGCGAGCATTCTCTGCCGTTTTTTTTCACTGAAGTAGGGTGTGATCAACTCAAACAAGCTATGGTCTAGAGTGCAGTGGTGTATGTGAGTGGTTGATGCAAGAGGGCCCTACGACTGGCGCAGCAACCCTGTGAGTTTATTCCTGGGGGCCTATTGCAGACAGTAACGGCATATAGAGTGATCCCCCGGGGATAGAATACCATTTTGTGCATCAACGTTTAATCAACTTTGAATCAATTTCTGGCTAAAACGCAGCATAGACTTATCATCTCATTAAAGCATAGTGTATGCCAATTAACGTCGATGATCTGGACAGACAAAATTGGACATCCTTTGTTAAGAATATGTTGTATTCGTCTGGTGTTGGTACGTGATGGCTTGCACAAAAAGCAGAGATTTTTGTATCAAATCATGTCACAGTTGCGCGATATACACGGACAGCAGTGGCGAAAGTAATATTAGCAACAAACCTAAATAGCGTGTGTACAAATGTTATAAAAGCGCGTTGTAGCCGCAAAATACCTATGACTAAATCGCGCGAGAATTGAGTCACAAGCGATCATGATGATAACAACACACGCTAAAACTCAAAGGCTCAATGTTTGTAAACCATGAAACGCTATGGCAATCTGACGCATGCGCAGGCGACAACTCACCTGCTTTAAATTTATTCAAGCTATGGCATGCCTCCGATGTTCATGTTTGCCGCTAAATGTTGGAGTTGGACGACATGAATGCATTGTCAATGTTGCTAGGATGTGTGAAGTATGCAATGGTACATATCTTAAAGACGGTTACCAATTTTTTCCAATATGCTCCTCTATCAGGGCGAGTAAAATGCTTACTACATCAATATCTTTGCAACCTAAACACCGGTAAATATCCATGATGCGCACTACAGATGCTAGTGTGCTAAAATGTGTACGCAGAGATTATTATGTAATTTTAACTGTTGCAGTTTATTTGTATACATCCACTTGTAATTTGCATATTTAAATTGTATTATTTTTCTTTCGTATATTGGCCGGAGGACTTGTACTACAAATAACTCAAATCAAACAATCAACAACATAACAATTTGAGTACAAAACAGTTTTTTTATTGAAAAACAGACAAAAAGTTAACTATATATCAATTAATGTTTTTAAAACACATTATCCAATCGAGGACTTACACTCCATGTATACCATGTACTCTATATAGTACATACGAAATCGCTAAACAATATGATCTTCACGCTCTCAAAGTTCTCTTATGGAGCGACTGCGTATGCGAGAAATTGTATGTTTAATTTTAGAATTCCTAATTGAATTAACAAAATCATTAATAAAAACAATAATTTACCAATATATCATGTCACTGAAGATAAAACCCAAATACAAATAATTACTAAGACAACTTGAAACAAACAAGAAAAAGTAAAATATGCATATAAATGAACATACTGACGTAAAATACTGATATACTATAATGATAACGTTTAACAGTTGTTGGCAATCCATTATTACCATACGGACGTTATTACAGCAAAACCGCCATAGCAATAACTGAAATAGATAAAAAAAATTATCGACATGTCAGTTTGTAAATAACAAAAAAAAAGAGATCTTATGATCGAAAGTTATTGTGTTTATTTTCTTGTTAAATGTCTATTAGTGCCGTTGAGGGCGCACTTAATCTAGTATGACTGTCTGCCGTGATAATAAAAGTGTTCTATATTTGTATATTATGACATTACCTATAATATCAAAAACTGCCCAGTAACGATGGTAACTAACAACAAGTAGAAGCATGAAGACTTAGTAATAGCGCCATCTGCAAACAAATGTATATATTTTTACTTCTGTGTTAGTTAGTTTTTTTTATTTTGTGCCAGGCGACAGTTCCGGACATTGAGCGCCATTTTTTTTTCTGTATGTGCAAATTGCAAGTGCTAGTGACGACACATAGTGCATTTTGCCACTGAAGTCATATTCATGTTTGGGACTACATGACAGGAGTGTGTGGCCATCTCTCTGTCAAATTGCAATTTGTTAATGCGCTATCCTGGCGTCAACCAGGCCCGGTCGAACACAAGCACCTGCGGACCTTAACCAAGGTTCCCCCAAAGTCGCATTCGTTAGTGAATGAATCTCGGCCAGTGGCTGAGTCTGTGGCACACTCACTCAGGGGTCGACCCTTTGAAGTTCAGCCTATTAGGTAGGATTTGAACTTGGGTCTACCGATCATGAGTCTGGTGCAACAACCACTATGCTACCAGTGATCGAAATTTAGTTCAAAACAATCAATCAGCAAGCACTTCGCTTTGAATTATGGGATGGACAGTGGCAGCTGCTATCATCGGGGGCGGAGCTACGTCACAAGACGTTCTACGTTGCTAAAACGCACACCACTGTACCCATTCTCTTTCCCAGAGACCTTTGCGGCCAGAACACAGAAATAGAACTCTGCCTGGGAGATTTCACTGTACCATGTATTTATATGGGCCCTGCGCGAGCATGTGTGGAACGACGGGCGGCGCGAGCATGTGTGGAACGACGGGCGGCGCGAGCATGTGTGGAACGACGGGCGAAGAGCCGGTGACAATAGCTAAATTCGAGAAAACAACACAAATTCAACTTAATTCTGAACAACTAAATTTATATATGTTACACACGCAGAGGTAACCTTGTTACACTATTCAAGGGAGTCTCAACAACCATCCCAAAGTACCGTTTTCTGAGAGTTTTCGGCATTTGTTTTCACGAGAATATACCATGTGATGGCATGGACGCGCATTATGGGCTTAGATAATATTTATCTCTTGGGCCAATCACTAATAAATATTATATAGAGCTGATGATCGGTATTTACATTTTTATGAGTACGTTTATAAGCCAAGATACAGCATAGAATATTGAAAATAAACAAAAAATGTCACAAAAATCATGAACTGCTGCAACTCCGAATTGATTGTATTTTAATTAAATGTACCCAATCCCACAAATTAAAAAAAATACGCCAACCATTCATCTCGGTTCTCGTTTTCCCCCGAATAATTTTGCTGTAAGCATGGAACTAATGTCACTAGCATCCATGATCTACGTATCCCTTTTACGTACACGTATTATATACATGTACGTGTATTACACATTACCAATCTATTTCTATAGGCATACATTTGACATACTGTGATCAACAAGTTACATTTTAAAAACTGAATATCAATCCAAAAAATGAATAAATCTCATTTTCCAAGTATTGCGAGTTAATATGTTACGTTGACCAAATCCTGGAATGAATTTTGAATCAACACTCCATTCGTGTACTTGTTTCTGAGTACCTTTACCCCTAATGATGTCTGGTATCCCCTATTGAGAAGAACTGTTACTGAGTTCGTTATACCGGTCTCCATTATACCTGGTACGACTTACCCCATTGGATTACCGTTTCCGAGTTCGGTATACCCCTCATTAATTATTGTACCCCCTAACATATTGGCTTACTTATATTAAGGAATATTGTATCCGAGTCCACTACACCCCTCATTATATCTGGTTCCTGGCTAGATTCGCATTTCACCACCGCATTGTCGTCACTCTTTTCCGGGGTAAGCGTCAGGGTGCTAACGACATCATAGGCACCGTCTTCTAGTTCAGTCACGTGAGATCCCTTCGCATTTTCCAACTCTTCGTCGTTCTTATACCAAGTTATCATCGGAGCAGGCTTTGCATTCGTTGCATGGCAACTAAATTCAGTGTCAACACCGACATTTACTGATACGATTTCTGAATGACTGAAGTCCAGTATGTCGACAGTGTCAGGCGTCTCTATACGTAGAAAATGAAAACAAAGTTTATAAATAAATGCAAACAGGGGTTAGAAAGTGAAACATTCCACAACCGATATTTTACATAAAGATATTGGTTCGCTCTACCACGATGTAAGGCTTATTGTGTGTGGCCACTCTGAATAGGTGATTTTCCGTACAACTGCGAGATCTCGCGAATTGCGTGAAAGACGCGCGACGAACATCTGCCACAAAAATCGAACGATTTTATTTTGAACTCGAATTTCTTTATTTCGTAGCTCACATCGAAAGGCCCATCTTTAACAGGAAAATATTGCGTTTGAATATTCTTACTCAAATGTGTACAGCACATTATTAAGCATGGAAATATCCTCCTAAATACTTTCACGTTTGCCGAATCCCACTCGATGTTCGTCGCCACTACGACGCTAAGACCTTTGTTTGTCTTGTTTTTACGTTCGATTTCACGCATAACGCGGGATCTCGTAGTAATCGGAAAATGGTCTATTACAATTTATTTTTTCAGTGAAATTGAAATCAGAAATGTCATAGTGTTCGAAATATCCTAAATTACACAAGATTATCGGTGTTCCGATATAAATAGAAACGACATGCAATAAATACCAGTGAATTATATTTCTTACTGTGTATTTTAAGTTCAGTTGTTCCAGTTCCTTCTTGTTTAGCAATATAAAAGTCTACTTCACAGGTATAAGAACCAGCGTCATCAAGTTCAAGTCTGCTAATAGTCAAACTAGCACGTGAACCTGACAAGGATGTACGACCAGCGAACTGATTATGTCCAGTACCAGTTCCACCATCTGTGACGTCATAGATTATTTCTTCAAAACCTCCGATTTCAGGTTGGAAGTGCCAGAGAATAAAATATCTATCCTGAAATGCAGAAGGCGGCGTGTAATCGCATGTTAGTGTCACTGATGTTTGGACTAACGCTTCTTTGCTCTTTTCCACGATAACATCCAGTATTCCTGTACATAAATTAACAGCTGTAACAAAAAAATCATTAGCGGTGAGAAGGTTGTATTACCAAATAAAAAGTTGATAATGGTTGTTGGATCAATGGGTTAATGTTATCATGAAATATCTAGGTATTCTGTTTTTCAAATTCGTTAGTCTATAGGGCATAAAACTAAGATTATATTTTGACAAAAAGGGTGAAAATTAATGGGCAACATTTAAAATTATAAAAATATATATAGATGTATTGACAAACTAAAAATCGCATGACGACAACAACGTTTTTTGAAACAGTAACACACAAACTAGTAAAATTCTTTGAAATGCATAGCACATTAAAGGTACAGATCATACACATAAGTTGTGTATTAGATAGCATTGGCATGTTGGTGTAAACTCACTAGCATCGATACATTTTATGTACAGGGCAAATTTGTATATGAAAAATACCAACTATTTGGTTGCTATGACAAAACCCTGAATGTCACATATCTTTTAAATTAAAAGGGGTAGATATGATAAATAAATTAATTTTATGTTTTTAGGTTTTCGGTGTTTTTAATCTCTAATTGTTTCCCTACGAGTTATTTCCACCAAGATTCTACATTGAGATACGTGTTAAATCAATTGTATTATTATTGTCATTACAATATCTCAATTGAAAAAATGTTTAATCCATGTTTATCAATAATTTTGTTATAGAACAAAAGTTGAATTTGTCCCAATTTCCTGATATGATAGTTCAATTTTAATTTTCATTTGTCTTTATAAATTCTATGAACGTACGGTATGACGACATTCACAGAAGAAATACATTAGACACTCACCCTTACCACTACAGAGTGTATAATAATTTGAAAAAGATCTCGGAGTGAAAACGAGGACCAGTATTTCAAATCTATAAATGTGTGAATCATTTCATTTTTACTCTTTAAACAAGAGTGGTCTGGATACAGTTCATGTTTTCAGGGCGCCGTAACTTAACTTGCTTAACTTGGAGGAATGTGTTTCGTGTTCAGTTTGAGTCGGTGCTAGGCTAATCGTTGCGGCGTTAAACTTTGACGAATACGACAGTGCCGCCAAACTTAGGAATTACGTTCTCCGGCACCCATGACAGGGCCGCCTTGACGCTTACTAATTACCACACACTTCCTCCCATAAAAGGGCCGCCACGAAACTTAGAAATCACCCCCACCTCCGTCCATGACAGTTGCGCGACTCTTAGCAATTCACCTCCCCCACACACACACACCGCCGTACACGACAGGACCGTCACTCTTAGCAATAAACTCCGCATCATCGCCGCCGTCCACGAGAGGGCCGTTATATTTAGCAATTACCCCGCTCCCGTCTATGACAGGGTCGCTACACTTAGCAATACGCACCTACAGTCTGTACTTCATTCAGTCGACACTCACCGCGACATTCAAGGCTAAATACCAACGTACCTTAGCAACAATGAAATGTAGCACACTTCTAAATATTAATTGCTGATTTCACAATACCATACTACAGTCATAAAATTGTCATATTCGTGCACATAAACTAACACACAGGTCATACCTGTTGTTGTCCATACAGAATATACCGAAGTAAACTAGTTCGTGATTAAACTTTCCAAGACTGAACCTGTTATGTGAACTCATTATATGTACCATGACAGCATGAACAGTCGGTCGCCTCGGTAGTCGCCTCGGTAGTCGCCTCGGTAACGGTATTTCGAAAATAACAGGTTTTATCTACTGATGAACATTTGAATGAACACATACCTGAATACTAAACTAAAAACTTTTGTCTTTGATTTTGTCTTTGATTACCAACTGAATTATACAACATTTCAAAGTTTAATGCGGTTTAAAATGAATAACCTTACAACAGTTTACCTCATCATTGTATTTGCGTATGCTTTATATTATAAAGTCAATGTCGTAGCAATAAATGAATATTATCATCGTTTATTGTTCCGAAATCTTGGGAAACGTCACCCGAAGAAGATCTCTGAGGTATCCTCAATAGTAACTGTGTAAATGGCACATATCCATAAACACATTAAATGTATTCATTGTTGAGCTGAACAAGTTTTTGAGATATTTGACCTGAAAATTGGCAGGAAATGATGTCACGTGATATATGATTGTATTGGGATATAGCGGGAGAATTTTAAAACCATTATTATAATACGAGAATGGACATCAACTTATTAACGATAATCAATGTCCATTTCGTTATTTATTACAAACGCGTCAGAAGTAGCTGATATGTCTATATCATACTTGCAGTCAATGACTGCAAATGTTCCCCGTGATTTTTCAAACCTAATTTACCCTTGTTTCAAATTCAACAAATATTAGACGTCGATTTTGCCACAGTTATATTACTCAGCAATCACAGTTTACTTCTACTAGTTGATGGTAGTTATTAAGAAAACTCACCTGTCAAACACAACACCAATACAAATGTAACATGCATTTTCCGTTTAGTATCCACGAAATATGAACAGTTTTCAGTCACGACGCCTTCAGTAAACCACCTTTACTTCTCGTGTACAAATAAGGCCACGTTGATTACTTATTCCTTTCTAGTATACATCCACGTGAAAAAAGTAATCCCCCTTCAATGCACGAATTGATAAATTGTTTAATAAAAATAAACAAGTGAAACACCATTTTATATTACCATGGCAATTATCGTGTTTAAAATAATCTATATCAAAACTATTATACTAAATACGTTTTGTTTTAAATTGCGGACGAATACAACACAACAGTAATCGAAAGGGCTGTCCATAAAACCTAATCCGTGGGCGCATTCATCTCAACATTCCTATATTCACATGTTATATACCACACAAAAAATACACATCGACAATTTAATTATCTTTTAAGTTGGTATATTAATTGATATTGTTTAATAAGATGTAAAATTGGTGTAGATCGGACAAAGACTACATGTTGTATTAAGCTGAAGTCTTAATGGTCGGTTTCATCTCACTGAATGACCGACATAAGGGTACAAAGTCCAGAAAGTATAATAAATATTCGCGTGAATTGAACATTAAACATTTTATTGCTTTTTTTCTTTACACAGTGAGTTGTAATTATGAAAATTAATGTTGGTGTACATATGAAATACATTTCGTGCAGCAATATTAATATATTTCTGAACTCATTTTTCAAAATCAGTTGTTTACATTCCCCCCTCAAAAAAAAAGAATTTTATTGTCGCAAACGACTTATTTACCACTTCCGTGTCACTGAGAATGTTCTAGAACCGTACTGTGTCTGGGTGGAATATTCTAGATTTTTTTTAGAAACTAGTTGAATAGGTAATAGAACACTGTAGGAGGCAATAGAAGGTAATGAAACATTCTAGAAATTTGTAGTAAGTTCCAGACTCATTATGTATGCTGATGTAATGGTCTATTTATAGACAGTGGGGGTATATATAGGGGAGTTGTTCAGCACTGAGTCTGATCGGAGATCTCGTTGAATTGTATTGGAGTTTAAGTATCTAGTTATTGGAGTAGTAGAGTTTTACCGCGTTATTGTACTTGATGTTTGCAGAGTATAATAATACCAGTACCAGTTGGAACCTCATCTCCGTGTTCGTATGTTATCATCGCCGCCAGGGAAGTCTTTCTGTTACTGTTGCCATTTTGGTATTTGAACCATCACACCTGTACTATACCAAATACGGTAATATTACGTTGCGTGTGACAATTATAATGTCGAAAACGGAAAGGCTTTATCTACCTCAATGGATACTGAAATTGTAGACGACTTTCCAGACATTATGGATCTACAGGGGACACCGTTCAGATAGTCACGACAATACCATGACATAACAGCGTCAAATAAAGTAGAACATCCAACACCACTGAATAGGTTGACACACAAGGTGATGTGTGATACCAGGGCATTACATTCAACTACAATCACTAAATGGGCTCACAAACAAGGTGATGTGTGATCACAGGGCATTACATTCAACTGCAATCACTGAATAGGTTGACACACAAGGCGGAGTGTGATACCAGGGCATTACATTCAACTGCAATCACTAAATAGGCTCACAAACAAGGTGATCTGTGATCACAGGGCATTACATTCAACTGAGGTCACTGAATAGGTTGACACACAAGGTGATATGTGATTATAGGGCATTACATTAAACTGAAGTCACTGAATGGGTTGACACACAAGGTGATGTGTGATACCAGGGCATTACATTCAACTACAATCACTGAATAGGTTAACACACAAGGTGATTTGTGATACCAGGGCATTGCATTCAACTGAAGTCACTGAATGGGTTGACACACAAGGAGATGTGTGATACCAGGGCATTACATTCAACTACAATCACTGAATGGGTTGACACACAAGGTGATTTGTGATACCAGGGCATTGCATTCAACTGAAGTCACTGAATGGGTTGACACACAAGGAGATGTGTGATACCAGGGCATTACATTCAACTACAATCACTGAATGGGTTGACACACAAGGAGATGTGTGATACCAAGGCATTGCATTCAACTGCAATCACTAAATGGGCTCACAAACAAGGTGATGTGTGATCACAGGGCATTACATTCAACTGAGGTCACTGAATGAGTTGACACACAAGGTGATGTGTGATACCAGGCATTACATTCAACTGCAATCACTAAATGGGTTGACACACAAGGGGATGTGTGGTACCAGGCATTGCATTCAACTGCAGTCACTAAATGGGTTGACACACAAGGTGGTGTGTGATTGCAGGGAACTATATTCAACTACAATCACTGAATGGATTGACACACAAGGAGATGTGTGATACCAAGGCAATAAATCCAACTGCAATCACTGAATGGGTTGAAACACAAGGTGATGTGTGATACCAGGCATTACATTCAACTGCAATCATTAAATGGGTTGACACACAAGGTGATGTGTGATACCAGGGCATTACATTCAACTGAAGTCACTGAATGGGTTGACACACAAGGTGATGTGTGATACCAGGCATTGCATTCAACTGCAAACACGAAATGGGTTGACACACAAGGTGATGTGTGATACCAGGGCATTACATTCAACTACAATCACTGAATGGGTTGACACACAAGGTGATGTGTGATACCAGGGCATTACATTCAACTGCAATCACTAAATGGGTTGACACACAAGGTGATGTGTGATACCAGGGCATTACATTCAACTGCAATCACTAAATGGGTTGACACACAAGGTGATGTGTGATACCAGGCATTGCATTCAACTGAAGTCACTGAATGAGTTGACACACAAGGTGATGTGTGATACCAGGGCATTACATTCAACTACAATCACTAAATGGGCTCACAAACAAGGTGATGTGTGATCACAGGGCATTACATTCAACTGCAATCACTGAATAGGTTGACACACAAGGCGGTGTGTGATACCAGGGCATTACATTCAACTGCAATCACTAAATAGGCTCACAAACAAGGTGATGTGTGATCACAGGGCATTACATTCAACTGAGGTCACTGAATAGGTTGACACACAAGGTGATATGTGATTATAGGGCATTACATTAAACTGAAGTCACTGAATGGGTTGACACACAAGGTGATGTGTCATACCAGGGCATTACATTCAACTACAATCACTGAATGGGTTGACACACAAGGAGATGTGTGATACCAGGGCATTACATTCAACTACAATCACTGAATGGGTTGACACACAAGGTGATTTGTGATACCAGGGCATTGCATTCAACTGAAGTCACTGAATGGGTTGACACACAAGGAGATGTGTGATACCAGGGCATTACATTCAACTACAATCACTGAATGGGTTGACACACAAGGAGATGTGTGATACCAAGGCATTAAATCCAACTGCAATCACTAAATGGGCTCACAAACAAGGTGATGTGTGATCACAGGGCATTACATTCAACTGAGGTCACTGAATGAGTTGACTCACAAGGTGATGTGTCATACCAGGGCATTACATTCAACTGCAGTCACTGAATGGGTTGACACACAAGGAGATGTGTGATACCAAGGCAATAAATCCAACTGCAATCACTGAATGGGTTGAAACACAAGGTGATGTGTGATACCAGGCATTACATTCAACTGCAATCACTAAATGGGTTGACACACAAGGTGATGTGTGATACCAGGGCATTACATTCAACTGAAGTCACTGAATGAGTTGGCACACAAGGAGATGTGTGATACCAGGGCATTACATTCAACTGCAATCACTGAATGGGTTGACACACAAGGTGATGTGTGATACCAGGCATTGCATTCAACTGCAGTCACTAAATGGGTTGACACACAAGGTGATGTGTGATACCAGGCATTGCATTCAACTGCAAACACGAAATGGGTTGACAAACAAGGTGATGTGTGATACCAGGGCATTACATTCAACTGAAGTCACTGAATGAGTTGACACACAAGGTGATGTGTGATACCAGGGCATTACATTCAACTGCAATCACTAAATGGGTTGACACACAAGGAGATGTGTGATACCAGGCATTGCATTCAACTGCAA